AAAAACCTTTAAAATCATGTTTTCAAAATTAATTTCAAGAGGTTCTACAAACTGAAAACAAAAATGATGAATAAAATTGCCCAAAATGGCGAAAGAGCCGTACGGTAATGGTAAAATATGAAACTTTGGCTTAGGGCATTTTTTTTTATTGGTAAGGTTAAGTGGCATATTTTTATTTAGTTAACCTCAAATAATAAAATTATAAATTTTCTTAAACTCGGGGGAGGTAGAGAGAAAAAACTTTTTCACTCTTCTCACTAAAAACCTCGGGTTTTTCGCCAACTGCCTAACTCTATCCGACTGCTGCTCCGGCGTCCGGCCTTGCCGGCGTCGTGAGACCTCGACTCCATCCTTTTTTTGGCCTTCGACTCTTCATCCGTGGTGACGGATCCAGATCCGGTTTGATTTTGGTCGCCTTAGCCCCGGCGGTGGTCTGCGCAGCCTCCTGCTTCTCCGACCGTGGCTTCGTGGTGGTTTCTAGGGTTCTCCTAGAGATCTCGTGAATCCCTTGTTCTCGTTGCATGTGGTGGCTCCTGGTGTTGGGTTGAGCTGTTGCGGTGGTTCTGGTGTTGTGGTTGCGGTGTGTCGGTCGGTGGCCTTATGGATGGGGATTTATCGGATGTCGCTCCGATGTGGTTGTCTCTCTAGGGGTAGGGAGACTTGCATGTTTAGAGAGTTTTCCCGATGAACTCTCACCGGCGGTCTTCCCCTCTGGCCGGCGTTCTGTCTTCGGCGGCGTTGGTACTTCTAATCCTCTCCTTCTTCACTTGCTGCTTGCTCAGATCTTTTGCTTTGCTTTGGCGATTTTGGGCTTTGTTTCATTTTTATGTTTGGCTCTTTCTTCTCGGCGGATGTGGACGAATTGGTTGGTTTTCATTGGTTTATTTCGATGGTGTTGGCCTCTGTGTTGGAGTTGCCCCGCCTCTACTCCCGACGGCTTCTCTCGGTTAGTGGATGTCGACGCTAAGATTGGTGAGTACTCTCACTCAAGTCCGCTCTATTTCCGCGAAGGTGACTCGGTTTGCTTGCTAGTTCGTTGTGTTGAGGATGTGTCCTCAAGATCCGGCGACGGTGTCGTCGGATTGTCGGTCGGAACTGCTTCTCTCCTCCTCGGCGGCGGTCCTGTGTCGTAGAGATTAGGGTTGCCGATTTAGGGCTCCTGATTTGGTTTGGACTTAGGTCTCATAGTGGACTTGTCTGTATTGGGCCGGTTCGATCTTAGTCACGAGTTTCTTTATGGGCCGTTTTTCGGATGGGCTGAGCTTTTGTCTCAAGGCCCATTAACATATTAGATTTGGATTCTTAACCAGGTTTAATTCTGGGATTGTTGGTTTGGTCTTCTATTTTGTTCTGAAAAACCAAAAAGCCCAAAAATATTTATATAATGCAATAAAAATGTTTTAAAAAAATATATATTATAGAAACATATACTTCAACGTTGAAAACTTTGATAATTAAAATAAACAAAACATGAGTCTACATAATAAAAATTTTGGGCTTCTAATAGTTAGGGAACTAAACATATAAAACCAATTTTTAATTGTTAAAGAATTAAAATAAAATAAACATTAAATTAGTTTGTTACATTAAAGATTGAGTGACTTCACTATCTTAATTTAATTCAAGTATATCACATAAAAAGGTAATTATTTT